CATTGCAGGGCTGAATAGTCTAAGCGAGAAAATATTTGTTTTACAAATAAAAATTACTGTATCAATAAAAGCAAATCGCACCCCATACGAAAGTGTTAAAACTAAGCGTGATAGTTAGAGATCGAATTCCTTCTATACAGGAGTCTTTCAGTGATGATCAGCCAGCTCAAAACACTAAGTGATATAAAGTACTTTATAATTCAAACGTTTAAGCGTCGATCAAGATATATCAGCAGCAGTGTTATTCTGTTATCTTTCTGCAGCAGAGATAAACGATGACTTTTAAGATGACTTTAAATAAGTAACTTTCTTTTAAAAAATTTGTTTTTGATCAGTCTTCTGTCAACGGTGAAATGAGCGGAAGAAGTAATGTTTACTGACGACAGCTAGCTGTATGCCTTGTCGAAAGAGTATGTAAAAATAACAGCCAGTAACAAATCTGTTGCAACACGATCCGAAAATAATCGATTGTTGTGGCAGAAGCAGATGGCCAAAAACAACTTTTGCGCTTTAAAAAGCGAAGTCTTTTATCAATTTTACGCCTAGCAATTAGAACAGACTTATCACTAAACAGCATTGTAAAGTCTGCTATCCTGACAAACGCATTGTTAGAAGGAGTTGTTTTGCGAAATGCCTAATACTGCAGGCAAAATATACATAAAGTTTCTGACTTTTATCAGACCAGAATACTAGGCATCATATGAGATTGATTACCCTCTAATTTGAAATATTTACACTACAATAAGGCGAAAACCGTTATTAAATAAAGATACAAATTTACTAGAAACTAAATTTTTGAACACTTTCCACGAAGCATAACTTAAAAGTCAGCTCGACTAGGAAATATATGGAAGAAAAACTGGTATAACCATAAAAAATTTATCCCTTTAAAGCCAATTAAGTCATTAAAAGGATTTAGTCATTAGTGAGAATAATGGAGATGATCCTAGCGGCAGTTTTTTTATTCCAAATTATTATTAATTCGTACCGCAGCAATTACAAATATATTATAAAAATATAAAAGATAAAAGAAGAATGGATTAACAGCTTTAAATGACCCACTCATTCACCCGCATTCGCTAAACAGCAAAAGGTTAGATAATTTTTTGTAATAAAACGTATGCTTTATGGCTTCCGTAAATTCAAAACAAAAAATTCAAATTCTTTAGACTTAAAGGCAATATATTGAAAAATATTGGTTAAAACGCTTCACAGCTGAAAGCAATAAAAAGTAAAGGTTTTTTGCCAACGCAATTTTTCGCTCTAAATTTAGACTTTCTAAAAGCAAAGCAGAGTCTAAGGTAACGTGGCGAAAGATGGCAAAAAAACTGAAGGCGCCTAGACAGCAACCAATTAAGGAGGTGCTGTGAATGACAGGTTGCAGAAACAAAAAACCTACTGAATGCTCTTTCCGTTAAATATCGTGCCAGTTTTTACTGCCTAAGCCCAGTTATTACTGGTGAATGCATCTTCAAACGTCTAATGATCCATTTCTCTTTGCCGAGAAAAAAAAAAGCGACAGTGCTTGTATAGCTTCTGTTGCATGGGATTGGTGAACCGGAATAACAATTCTTATTGGTGGTTTTCTCAAAACTTGTTTTACTTGTTTATCATAGCCAATTCTTCTACATTCGCAACTGAACCATTTTAGAATCTTGGTGTTCCTCTCCTAAACTCGTCTAGAATATCGGCTAGTGTTATAAGTTCTGTTCACCTATCTTAAAGATAGTACATTTAATTTAAGTGCTTCAACAATTTGGTGTACAATATCTGGTTGTCACTGCGTTGAAAAAAGCGAGCGATCTTCTCACAATAGTTTAAAGTAAAATTTTTATTTTAGAACAAAACAAAATTTTTCAAGCTCTCAATTGACTGGAATAGAAAACCATTCTTTGCTACTGATATATAATTCAACAACAAGTCTCTGTACAGCTAGTCCCTAACAGGTGGTGATAAAAAGAATTAAATTGCTAAACAGATAAAAGAGGAGAAAGTTAGAGCTGGAAGGAAACTAGCGAAAGGAATGTGTTTCGGAAGCAGTTAACTAAGAAGTGAAGAAAAGATAACTGGCATTTGGTTGAACAAAGAAGAAAGTAGAGCATTTTTTTTTTTTTTTTTCATTTCTCATACAAAATGAAAACCAAGAAAATTTCTTTTTGCGTGACGTAAACACGGGTACTAAAAATCAAGAAAAAACTTACAAATTTGTTATCCGCCATTAAAAGGTTAAGAACCTTTTTGACAACAAATTTTTAAGTATTGTCAGTACGTTCGTCAAATAACTGATTAATATGAAGCCATAATAAATAGTAACATTACGCAACTTTACGCCTTATTGGAAGCATCGATTAGGCTTCAAATGGCTAAAAAAGCTTTTTTGTGCCTTCAACCTTTACATTTTCGTGCGAGTTACACTTTAAGTGCAGTTAGTGAAACTTCCGAAAAGTTTGCAAAGGTACATACTAAGCGCTTTAATGCATCACCACTGTTAAGCCACTGACAAATGCAAACACATATGCTACACTTTTCTGCTATCTCTAATCTAGACTGTAAACCCACATAGAATTGTAGGCATTAGCGTTTATAAACAGTCACCGGTAGATATCCGGTCGGCTATGATGGTGTAATTAGAATAACCAACGCTTGGACTGACTGTCGCTCAGATGGTGACTGTTCGTTAGAAACCTGAGCCTAATTTTCCCAATCTCATTCAACGAATTTGGGTACAGTGAGTGGGTGATTTCTATCATCTGTCAAGCACTTTCCTTGTCTAGAGTATTAAGACGATTCATTGCGATGAAGCGGTTTGGTAATTAGGAAATAGCTAATGGCAGTTCACATCGTCCAGAAGTTTCTAAACTACTGTTTGTGGAGTTGTCCATTTCTCACTTAAACTCCACTTTTTTGTTTTACCAAGCTTATTTCAAAACACGGACGTGTAAATATTACCAACCCAAAACTAGTGAAGTCGTAGTTTACAAAGATATCTAGAAATATCAATAATACAAGGTTCACATTCCTACTTGTCTTTTATTTTGAGCCATAAATAACAAATAAATGTGGTATCTTTTTCTTTAAAAAAAAATTTTTTTACACTAACTTCTTTCTGCATCAAACATGAATCAAAGTTTTTAAAACTTTTTAACATTTGCAGTTAATCGGAAAAACAAAAAATATAGAACGAACTTCAAGTAATAAAAGATAACTTCTTGCAATCTTTAAAACAAGGATGTCTTTAAAAAGCAGAATACAGCTTTTTAAAAACTTCCAAAGATAGAAGCAGTAGTAAAAGTTGACAGACAAATAATTTTAAATGATTTATAAATCACATTTTGCAGCAATTTCAAAGCACAATGAAATCAGCAATCATATCAAATAAAAGACTTTTTAGAAAAGGTTTACAAAATCTTAGTGAAAGTGTGAAGATGACTTATGCCTTAAACATTTTCAAAGTCATAAGCCAAATGCAGATATTCTTACATTTATAGATAGCGAACTTTTTTTTCAATGAAAACAGCAGTTGCTCTTCTTTGCAAAAAAGTGATTTACAAAAATCTAGTAGTCACTGTTCTCAGTATCTTGAAGTAAACCTTCTTCCGGAAGTTCCTTTCGTTGCCACCTTGGATTCATAGCAATAAGAAGAATTAATCCAATATAGAGCAATGTAACAATTCCAATACAATTTGCCAATCCTTGCTCAGCACAGAAAGTCTTATCATCAGTCCAACACCTGTAACAGATGATAATTTAAACAACGGAATGTTTAAAATAAGCGCCTCGACTTTGACCGATTTCAAAAGTTGTTTCTATGAAAATCATTTCACCTTGGAAACTCATCAGTATCTATTTAGAGAAAATATAACAACTGTGATTAATATCGATGATGTCTCGATTATTTCTATTATAGAAAAAGCGGCTAAGAAGAAAATACCGTCAATGACTCTAGGTCTTGACAAGTATTTAAGAATTTTAAAGAATACAGTCTTTGGAAACAATGCAATAAACTATTCAACAGTTCATTTGAAATAATTTTGCATTTTTTTGTACAAACCTAAATAAGGCTGAAAAATTAGAAGACCATTTCTGTACTGCAGCTAAAAAATTGTTAGAAAAGTAAAAAACGAAAAATTGCTATTAAAAAATGAAGCGGAAAACGACACCACTTTTGGTGAAAGCAACAGCAGATAACTACAGATAAATTCTCTGATTCAGTTGAGCTGAGCATTTAGCTAAAAGTATGAAAAAATTAAAGCTTGCTGGTTGAAACTGATAAACAGTTTATACGTCATAAAGTAATTTCAAAGACGTTTTCTTTGTCAAATAGCTTTTAATTTGAAACCTTCAGCGCTAAGAGCTATTTTTAACAATGAGCTTAATTCGGCAAGCGTATTTCAGAGCTTACTTATTGGCACCAAATATAAATTATTCGTGTTTTTCAAATTAATTTTTAACTTTTTATTGTATCAGTTCTAAACTTTCATATACGACTACGCAAGACTGAAGTACAAGTAACGGCAACTTAGGCGAACGATTAAGTCAAAAAATCAAATTTAGTAGAAGCGTAAGATAAACGAATTTTATGCTAAAATCTCTAACATTAGGCAGATTTGTAGATGAATGAGTAAAAGAAATTTCTTTGACCCCCAAAGAAAAATTTCAGTGCTATTCTGTAACTAAAGAAAAAGACCTCACTAACGAAAAAAAACTCGAGGTGAAATGAGAACACAGACAAGAAACGTCATCTGAAAGTCATTCTGCTCTATTCATCTCTGAATTATGGACAGACTATTGAAGCAGATCCATCAAGAAACTTATAACTAGCCCTCACAGAACAAATCAATGTTTGGTATATTAGCTTAGTTTCCGTTTCACCTCTTGGAAGTAAAGTTTATCGAACAAGGTAAGAGTGGTAACAAAAAAAGTGTGCATGTAAAAATTAACATGAAGTTTAATATCATTGCAAATTGAAACTCACTTGTGATGCCAAGCCGAAAATTCGGTAATGCCCATGAGAATTGTTAATCCAACGAACAGAAAAATGAAATGTCCAATTAAGCGATGGAAAGGCATCAATATCGCTCGAATTGTATTGTTAAACGCTGGATAAAAAAATGAAACGAACCCAGTGACATACTGAAATTTAATTAAACATCAGAATGCTATATGCAGTCTAAAGATTATAGGTTTTAAATGTTACATAAGCACTGATTAAGCTGCTCACTTGGCCGAAGTAAATAGTGACTAAAGCAATTCCTATCCATGAATGCAGGGAATAAAGATTTGGTAAGGGGTCTAGTTTTCCAAAACTATCACGATGGTATCTGTGCGAATCCCACACAGCTTTCAATGAAATCATGATAAACAAGAGCGTTATGGTGTGCAAAATAACGTGAATCAGTTTCGTCCTACGTTTCGTTTCCTTCCGGAGAACACGAAAAACGACGAGCGCTATTAAAATTACAGTTTTAAATTGAAAAAAATAATCTTTTTTCAAGATCAAAATTCAGCTTTTAAAAATACTGTAGCGGTAGTAATACCTTCGCCAGTGATGAACAACATGCTTATAATCATAAGAGTTGGATGGTAGTGAAACTGCTTTTCTGGATCAGAACTCCAAGAATAACCGTTTTCATAACCAATCATCCAAGCAACTACCATCATGAAAGCCAATGCACCTATCAAAAAAATCAGCTACTTTTGGAGAAGTGTTTAAAAAAAGCAAGACTCAAGGTTTTTGTATAAACAATTTTATTCAGCAATGCAAGAGATACTAGATTCAAATAAAAAAATTTAACCCAAAAAATGACTACAATGAAGGATTAAAAATCATTCTTTACGATTTTTAATCACCTGACACCGGATACTTTTATCAATAACAGTGACTTAAAAAAAAACAGTAATTTTTTGACGCTTTTTATACTTAAACTTTTTTAACAAACCACATATTTGTGATCCAACGAAAAGGCAGTTGAAAACATATATACTCTGAAAACCGTCCAGCATTCGTATCTGAAAAATTCTTCAAATAACAATAACCGTCATTCAGCAGTACAATTTCATTCAAACAAAAAAGTAACCAAAGAATCAGCAACGCAGTTAAAGAGAGGGACGTGTAAGTAGTAAACTCAGCAGCTGAAACCAAAAAAGAAGCGACTTTTATAAATACAAACTCATAATATAGACTTCTCAATGTGTTCAACAGAACCAAGTAGTATCCCCGCTTTAGATTATAGATCAGCTACGAAAGATTATTGTAGTTATCACAACCTTAAACGCTGTTTGATCTCCTCAATAAGCACTTATTAAACACGTTATAGTCAATGTTAAACTGAAGAAGTGATTAATAAAGTAACACTTTTTAGAACTCATCTTGCAAACTTTTTTTTTTTAGTACAATTAAAGTTAAATATATTATAATCTTGAAAAAATTGCAAACAATCTTCAGTATTGAAGGTAATATTTCAAATAGTGATTTCTTTGCGTTAAAATAGAAGTAAAAAATTTATAAAAGTAAGGTTTTGCAAAATTTTAGCTCAAACAACTGCGTTCTATGAGCAGTGTTTATATTAATTTTGGTAACTGAACTTGAGGCAAACAAATGTGTGATAAGATGTTGATGAAATTAATTGAGCTCTATAATGGTCAGACAAATGATGCTTCCTCCATTTCCCCTCCCTAAAAAATTGCATTATGTGATGCACAAATAACCAAATCAATAAGCCTGAATCAATATGGAAGACTAGAATATTAGTAACTTTATCCAATCTTTGTTTGCCAGTTATCTGAATAGGTTTAATGCGTAATATAATTTTTTTTTTCTTCTAATTATTAATATATAATCAATTTTGAACCCCAAATTTTTTCAATAACTCTCTGAGTGTTGCTGGAACGTTCT